GTAGGAAGACCCGATAGGCGCGTATGCCTGCACAGTCTGCGAGGCCGCGCTCTGGTAGCCCCCGGTTTCAGATGTGGCAAGCATCAGCCGTGTAAAGATCTGTCCGTTTTTGTCCTGGTATCCTTCCAGCGCAGATTGGTATGCCGAAGTCTGGTCCGGTGTAGCACTAGGTCCGGGATCCGAAGGGGCTTTTTCCACTCCCAACAGAACCTTGTGTAGCTTGTCCTCCATAAAGGAGGCCTGCAGGGTTCGCCAGCCGACGTAGTCGCCTGGGTCACCACTGAACTTGGCGAATCCTCTTCGGATCTCGCCTGACGAGCCGGTAGCCATGCTTACCGCCTCTGGTGACTCTGGTGTACAAGCTCGAGCAACTCGAGGCTCAAAACCTGTTGAGGCAACAGCACTGTCACTGCAGTCGCTGTACAGCTATTCCTTCAGCTGTGGCTACAAAGTAGCAAGCATGTGATGCGAGGTTAGGTAGGCAAACACACAGAGTGATATTATCCACACCACAGACGCCCAAGCTGCCTTCACCTGACGGTTACAGACTTGGCAACGCTTTCACAATACTGCATAAACCCATGCAGTAGAATAGAGTCGTTCTTGTACTGCAATTACTCCAACACTAGTCTTGTGCCCGAACTTCAAGAGAAGCCGTTGGAAATCTACGTCGCCGAAACTGTACCCTCTCAAACGGACCGACATGAATGGACGTTTGAACAGACAACAAGGGCTTATTTACCAAACGCCCCAACACGGGGTCGGTTGTGTGCGTGCGCGTTCGTTTAAATAAAGCTTGCACGGCAGGTAGGTAGATTTCTCATGGATTCCCAAGTAGCTAGACTACAACAGTAGACTAAAGAGTAGATCGAGTACTTGCATAAAAAGGAAATATCATAAGATGACGCGAAACAACGTCGTAGACTTGAGTACTAATAGCATCGAACAGCGGGGAACATGATCCTCTAACTACAGGGTACGACGTACAAATTAATACTTGCCGTTTGCATGATTGCACCGCTGTAGATATTCATCACATGTTCATGATAGATAATGTGTTCAAACAGCAAGCGCGGCCGAACGATTTCTTTGCGTGTCTTCATAATGATATGCCTGTTTCCAAACGTGTAGCAGTGCATCGTGCTATTCTACATTACGGAAAGACGTCGTGTGAAAGCAAGATGTTTCAAAGACTACGACGACAGCGGGGATGTGAGAGCACAAGATCCGGGGATGGATGTGTCCGCCCTGCCGTCCTGTTGGTTTCAGATGCAGTACTGGGCCCTCTATAGTGCAGGTTGAATACTGCAGGTGCCCGGTATAGTGCAGGTGAAACCTCTGGACACAGACAGCGCCCTAAATAGTGCAGGACCTGCACTATTTATTGAGGGAAGTCCCGCTATAGTGCAGGTTGGGCACTGCGGTGCCCCGAAATAGTGCAGGTTGGACACACACACAAACGACGGTGAGAACGATGGAGTTGGAAAGAAGGAGGATGGCGGTGACACTCCAAAACGAGCTAGAAGAGTGCAAGCTAGCAGCCTTCATCGACACGTATGCAAATCTGCTGTAGCTACCGTTTCTGTCTTTAATCCGGAAATAGCTTAGCCTCCCCCAAGCCGCCCCCTCGTGGCGTCCCAGTTAGTGACATTGAGACTACATACAGTTGGCGCCCGCAGTTAAGAAATATTTTGTTAAGAAACATAGCTCAATTGCTTAACGAAATAGGGTTAAGAAACATGGCTCAATCTGGGTCACACAACAAGAAATGTCTCAAAAAGAAAAACAGCGGCGACCGCTGCCCTACTACATAAGAAACGAGGTTTTACGGGGGAGTTTGTCGAATAAGAAACAAACCCCACAGCTCTCTCGCTCTTTCCCCCTCTCCCCCGACCCCCCCCCCTCCCATAGTGCATTATTATTATTAGTTGTACGCCGAGGGGGGAGTGTTTTGTTTTGCGGCGCCCCCTCCGGCCCCCTGCGGGCTCTGCCACGCTCTCTGCTGGCGCTAAAGCTTTGGCACAGCACACCAAACAGGCTGCGAACCAAGACATGCTGTCTGCTGTACACGGCTTTGATGGTTCTCTCCGCCAGCTCTCGTGAGGGCTTGACCAAGCTGGTCACCCTCAGAGATCAACGAGAACTGTCGACGAGCCGGCTCGGGGACATCAAGAAGCGCCTTCTAAACAACGAGCCTCTGTCTCACGATTTGCGCGCCCGAATATGCGTGCGACAGCTTTAACCTAACCACTTCGGTGGAAAGCGATGGCTTGGCATGACGGCCTTTACGATCGACTTTTTTTGTATGTCTGCATAAATCTGCAATTGTCGGAGGGCAAACAAAATAATAGTAATTTCTGGAAAGGCATTGAATAGCTGCGGAGTTTGAGGTCTTCCGATATCCTTACTTTGGAGGAGCATGTGCAGCATCTCAACGAACATGTGGCGTCCCACCTCAAGGAAAAGACCCCGGTACGAACCCCTCCTGAATCTGCTGCTGGTTCAAGCGCACAGCAGTTCGTAGGGCAGAAGCGAAAGGCATCATCGTCTTCAACAGCGCGATCGACGGTGAGTGATATTGTTTTCCGCGTTCATTCGGAGCACAGAAGAATTACCCTTGCGGAAGAAAGCTCCTCTTGTTGACAGATGAATGACTGTTGGAATATTGTCCCCGCTTCGGGAATCGCCACAACAACAGACGATGCCTCCGCTGTGCCTTGTCAGGAGACNCAACAAGGCATCATCGTCTTCAACAGCATCAGCCAAGAAAAAGGGGAGGGCAGCATCCAACCCGCCGGCAGGGACCCACAACATCATCAATGCCTTCGCTAAAGGCAGTGGCAAACCGGTGCGTAGAATATGTTTGTGTGTGCCGACGAGAGGGTCTCGCGCGATACTTGAAAATATATTCAGCGCCCTGGGGTCGAGCGGAACAACAACCTCGTGAACGACGGCTTGTCACAAACGGAGTCGCCACCAAAGAAAACGTGTGGAGTAGCCTCGAGGAGACGGTACACCTCGCGCGAGAAGGTCGGTGTTAGCTGCGAGATCTAGAGTCGCGGTCAACGGAGGTTCGTGCGCACTTCGGTATGACCCCTCTCTTTTACTTGGAACATAAGTCAGGGATCTCGGCCAGCAAAAAATGTATCAGCAAATGGCAGAAGGATGAAGACTCGCTCGTGCAGCAGGCAGCTGACAAGGTGCGGAGTAGTCTGATGGCGACATGCNGGATGAAGACTCTCTCGTGCAGCAGGCAACTGACAAGGTGCGGAGTAGTCTGATGACGACATGCACTCGACGGCGGCTGTGGTTCCCTGACGCGGAGAAGGAGCTGTACAAGATGTTGCTGGCACGACGCAAGAGGAAGCTGCGGTCTCGACAAGGTGGATCACGGTCACTTTCAAAAAGCTCGTCATGGAAAGGTACCCGCAAGATCCACGAGCAAAGGCATTCCGGCCGTCCCTCCGGTTCGCGCAAATGTGGGCGACGAGGCACAAGAACAAGTCTGTGGAGGAGAGACTGCCGAACGTTTCGCTTCTAGGGAGTGGCCTTACGTGCAGCCGTCGGTAGTGGGAATCGGGGTTGAGTACGGGGGTCGAGGAAAGCAGTGCAAATCATTTGTATATTTGGAACGTTGTGTATGCAAGCAGAGAAATAAGAAATTGCCGATTTATGAAATTCAGCAGGATTTGGCTGCACGAAAAAATAAGAAACTTGAAATAAGAAACTGAAGGACATACATGCGCTGAGTTTAAAGGCCACAATAAGAATTCGAGGCTGAACCCGAAATAAGCGTTTCTTAACTGCGGGCGCCAACTGTAGTCTAGAAGTGTTATAGTTTTTCAATCGCACTGACTGACGTATTTTCATTGGTCAGCCGGTTAGCGAGGTCGATGCTACTTCGTAGTAAAAAAAACACACGGATAAGACAGCGGATAGACGCAACAACGCAGAGGCCAGGGTATACATACGTGCTGCTGCAGACCCGAAAGCTCACGCAGGGACGCAACAAGCCTTGTGCGGACGGTGAACTGTGCCGCCATCAACAACAAGCAGAACGCCGCAAGCCCCTCATGGCCCCGTCTGCAAGGGAGGGTGTGGCGGGCGACTCCACGGCAATTGCGGCAGCATGTTTGAGGACGACGAAAAGCACCGCATCTGCAGCAAGTGCGTCGCCAAGGCTGGCAAGCGCAAAGCGACACCAGCTCAAGCGGTGGCCCACGTGCGTCCCACTCGATGGCATCCCATCTCTACTTGAGGTTGAGGAAGCGGTACGGGAAATGGCCAACAGAAAGGCCGTCGGGCCGGAC